ATTAATAGTTATTATAGAACGTGAGGCGATGGTTACGTAAAAAGGAAAAAAAAATGAATCCAAGATAGAAGAGAAAAAGTTAAGCGGATCTCTATTATTACTCAAAAATTATTTAATTATTTATTTATTGCGACATATAAATGAACTTGAATCTCTACTACTGACGTACAAGTGCGTAAGATTTGCCCTTATTTAATTGATGTAATATACAAATGATCGAATGTAAATTTTACTTCTTAGATTTTAATTTGTATATTAGAGACGGTAGAAAAAGAGGAGAGGGTATATAAAATGTGAAAAAGTGTTCTTTGGCTTTCGGCGGCACATGCTTTTTTCATTTGCATGCTGGCTAAAAGCACTCTCGTGCTTTCCTGTGATATAAAAAAGAAAAATTAATCAAGAGTAGTAAATTCTTTTACCATAAATTGAAGATGCAAATACAATAAAATCAAACTATCTGATAAAGTTATGGCAATTAGATTTTTTGTTATTTACGGAAAACACAGGATGATGCTTAATATAACAGCAGTTTATCCGTGCCAAAGTGCTTCAATCAAAGAATTTTTAATACTGTGTGCATGTGCATAAACATTCGAAGTTTTTTGTACGTTCCCATGAAAATTATGGCAGTTTTATTCTTCTCTTTTAACCATTCTCAATTCTTAGCCATATATGTCATTGTGTTACCAGAGAGCCAATTGAGATCTCTTTAAAAGTTCTGTGCCATGGACCAGGTTACGTTCGAATATTCCTGGTGCCTCAAAAGAAAAATACGACTTTTCTGAATGATCGAAATAATTCCCAGACTCTGTTCCATTTATATTGTAAAATCACAATAAAATTGTATATTATATAATTAACAACTATACACACGCAGTTTAAAAATTGTAGATATTTTTCATCGACGCAAAGTTACAATGTGATGCAATGATTTTGTTCATGTAGATATCGCGAAGTATAAAAGAGGATTTTGTGTGAATAGGTTTTTTCTAAAACTGATTCTTTGTAAAAGGATCTAATAATCATAGTTTCTATCAATCTTGTTGTTTTTAGTATTTTTACAGCCCTATATAAGACTACATGTAAATAAGGAACACAGAAATGGAAAAGGAGATAAAAGAAAAAATTATATATATATATTTTTTTCTCATATATATATATATATATATATATATATAT